AATGAACCCGATTTTCTATCTTGTTTGATAGAAAACGAGCCTCGAACGTATGTAGAGGCTGTGACTTCTACGGAATGACCAATGTGGAAAGAGGCTATAAAAAGTGAAGTGGATTCTATTCTACAGAATCACACTTGGGAACTTGTTGATCTTCCTCCGGGTAGTAAACCCTTAGGATCCAAGTGGGTCTTTAAAAGGAAGATGAAACTGGATGGTTCCATCGAGAAGTATAAGGCTAGGCTTGTAATCAAGGGTTACAGGCAACGCGAGGGCCTCGATTACTTCGACACATATTCTCCCGTGACGAGAATAAACTCCATTAGGATGATACTTGCCATAGCCGCGCTGCAGAACTTGGAAGTTCATCAAATGGATGTGAAAACCGCTTTCCTAAATGGCGAATTAGATGAGGAAATCTATATGGAACAACCCGAAGGGTTTGTGGTTCCGGGCCTAGAAAGGAAAAGTGTGTAAGTTGGTTAAATCGCTTTATGGTTTGAAACAAGCGCCTAAGTAGTGGCACGAAAAGTTTGACCACGCGATGTTAACTAACGGGTTTAAAATAAACGAAAGTGACAAATGCGTCTACGTTAAGGAAACGATAGACGGCTACGTCATTCTTTGCTTATATGTCGATGATATTCTCATCGTTGGTAGTAATTATCGGATGATCAAGTCTACCAAAAACATGTTAAATGCGAGATTCGACATGAAGGATATGGGTTTGGCTGATTTAATCCTCGGGATTAGAATCATTAGAAGATCTTATGGTCTCGTGTTGAGCCAATCACATTATATTGACAAAATCCTTGAGAAATTTAACAAGGATGATAGTCAAGTGGCTAGGACACCATTTGATACAAATATTCATCTAACTAAGAACCACGGAGAAGGTATTTCACAAGTGGAATATGCTCGGGTTATTGGTAGTTTGATGTATCTTATGAGCTGTACTAGGCCGGATATTGCCTATGCGGTTAGTAAACTCAGTAGATATACGAGTAACCCCGGTGCTATGCACTGGAAGGCAATAGTAAAGGTTATGAGATACTTGAGGTATACTCGTGATCTTGGACTGCACTACGGGAGATATCCCGCTGTACTTGAAGGGTATAGCGACGCTAACTGGATATCTGATATTAAGGACTCTAAGTCCACGAGTGGCTACGTGTTTACACTAGCCGGTGCAGCCGTTGCGTGGAAATCCTCTAAGCAAACTGTGATAGCTAGATCCACGATAGAATCTGAGCTGATAGCCTTGGACAAAGGATGTGAAGAGGCTGAATGGCTACGCCATTTTATAGACGATATTCCTAATTGGGAAAGACCGGTACCTCCAATATGTGTGCATTGCGATAGTCAAGCCACAATCGGGAGAGTACAGAGTCATATGTATAATGGTAAGTCTAGACATGTGCGTCGTAGACATAATACCATTAGACAACTACTCACAACTGGTGTTGTCTCGATTGACTACGTTAAGTCAAAAGATAATATAGCAGATCCGCTAACCAAAGGGTTAGGAAGAGAAGTTGTGGAGAAGTTGACACGAGGAATGGGTCTAATGCCCTTGGACTAAAAAGTTCTATAGCGGATACCCAACCTAGCTGGCACCTAGGTTCAATGGGACAACTAAATTATGGAACGGAGCGCGTCACTGTGGGGTCTCGGACTCCCTACCACTCCTCGTTAAAACAATGACTCCCACAAGAGGCTAGCATGTTAATGCTTTAATGATTCTTGAGTATGCGGGATACTCGAGAAAGAATCACCTATGTTAGAGAGAAGTGAGGGTCGCTTCAAAGGAGAATTGTTGGGCACAATTCTTTAGAAACTCTCGCAGAACCAGGAACGGTGACCCACGACCAAAACGGGCACACTCATGAGAACAAGAGCATGGTTGGGAGATTCCTGTGTGAGATATGTCATCGTCTACACAAACGGCAGTCGGTTCAAAGACATCGCGTTCTACCGTACAGCCAGTAGAGTAAAGATGTCTTCACGAGGGAAGGTTCAAAGGGTATAGTGACTCCCTACCTATCCTATGCAGGGATCGACAGTTTGAACACAGTTGTTTCCAATTTCAAAATACCCTGAAAATCAATTTTTCATTCATGTGGGGGATTGTTGGAAAAAATAGCTTAAATTGGCATAAAATGGCATGTTAAGTGGCTATTTTGTGGTACAATTATCAGTGGGGTCCACTTCCGATTTGGGTCGGGTCAAAGTGGATTCGGATACTTCGTAGTGAGACGAAGAGATTGATATATTGTACGCTCAAAACGGATAATGGGTGAATGAGATATTGATTCTCAAAGTAGACCCATTTGAGTTGGAAAATGAAGGGAAAAAGTGGCTTTTGTCCCACATTGCTTTGGAATGAAGATTTTCCCCCCTTATATACAAGAGCTCTTTTGAAGCTTGTAGAATTGTATAGCATGGAGGCTCTCTTGTGCGGGGGGAGGGGGGGTGCAAATCAAATTCCTACTAGAAGAGATTGAAAAAGGCTTGATTCAAGCCCGAGCTCGTGTGCGCGGGCACTCGCCTTGCGGGCTAAGTTATGCCAAACTTCGGTACCAATTTTCCAACACAGAGAGCCACGCCACTGAGGTTTCGGCCTAGTGGCCGAAACATGCACCCAATGGCCGAAACTTGCAAGTTTCGGCCACCTGAGGTCTTGGCCGAAACTTGCGAGTTTCGGCCTGGTGCCCGAAACTTTGGCCTTTTCGTGGCTAAACTGAAGCTCCTTCTGTGACCGTTGGGGTTTTAATTCAGCTGTTGCGGAGTTAATTCTTTGGAATTAATTCCAATTTTAATTTTGAATTAAAACTCAAGGTAGTGGTTGCTGTTACAGGAGTTGTGGGGGTGTTTTTTAATGCCAAAAATAAAAGCTATTTAACTCCTTGATCCCTATATAAGAGAGGGTAGTGAGAAGCAGTTTTACACACAGAAAGAACAACAAGCACACTACACGAAACTTTGTTTTTCCAGCCTCAAAATTCTGCTTCTACTCCCTTTCTTTGCCTACTGTGTTCATAGCTTGTCTTGCTCGCCGGATTTCTTGTTTGAGTGCTCAAACATTGAATCACTAGCAAGTTTTATCCTGAGAAGCCTAGGCCACAACGCTCCTAGCATCTTTGGGAGGTGGCAAATAAGGTTTTAAGGAAAGAGTGCTCACTTGACTCTTGCAAAAAACCCAACACCAAACACTAGCCGCCAAATTTGTTCATCTTTTCTTCCTCTCTTCTCAGAAAATAATAGTCATTTTTATTTGATTATTATTTGTTTTTCTACCAACGGTTCCTACAATTTATAATGTGTTTTTCTATTCAAATTATTTTATCAAATTAATTATGTTTCATATTTTGTTATGAACATTTTTATAAAGTTTCAATGTGTTTTATTTTTCGCCCATATCCAACAATATTTACAACTATATTTCTTAGATAATTTTTTTTTTAATTATCTCTTTTATTTTAATTTTTAATTTTACTAAAAAGAATTTTCTAAATTCGTCCTTACTTCTTCACCCCTCAACCGAATTTCTGGCAGCGTCTCTGGCTACTAGCTAGCATTTAGCTGTTACTTTGCAAACCACACAACGTGACACCGGGGCTAAAACATTAGGACCCAGAGCTTTGCAACTTAGAAACCAGGGGTATGACTCTGTTGGCCAGATGGCCATTCACATGTTTTCTGGAATTGAAGCTGTCACTTTGTATTTTATTTAATTTAGAAAGGAAAAGAATTTCAATCCTCAAAAAATTAAAGAGTCATTATGGCTAGTTTGGTAAAATTGTTAACTTATCAATCAATTTAGGTTTATTTGATCACTGTTAGCTGTTTAACTTGATTAAATAATTAATATAAGTGTTTGATTAATTAGGTTCTTGTATCAACTTATTGCTCCAAAATGCTAAAATTCAAAAAACTGTTCAAAGTAACTTTTTTGATAAGCTTTTTGAAATTATTTTGCATGTAATAAGCTATTAGTTAACAACTAATTTACCAAACATTTTTCTCCAATCAGCTAATGTTATCAACATCCCAAGTCAAATCAGCTAACAGCTATCAACTAACAACTATTTAATAATAATAATAATAATAATAATAATAATAATAATAATAATAATAATAATCATCATCATCATCATCATCATCATCATGGGCATTTTGGACTTTATACTACTTATTCCCTTTCAGTTCCCAAGTATACCAAACATTGAAATTGAAATTTCCCGTAACTGTATTATTGTCAACCAAACACTGAAATTTAAATTACAACTTTATTCACACATTATTCATCTCTCATGAATTACAATTCTTTTCCCATCTCATTTCATCCCTCCAACCAAACGCCACGTTAATGGTGGATGGATTCACATGCAATTCTTCTACTCTCCCAAAAGGATGAATCACCAATCTTAAGGGATCCCTACACCTCCAATCCGAAAAAGTATTTGGGAGGATGAAGATATGTTATAACCATTAAAATTAACACCTTAATAAGTTTCCTTAGTACAAGAGCCAAATAAGTAAAGTCTTAATTAGAGAGCCCTGGAAGGCCATAGAAACCATACCAACCAGGCAACCAAAACATACAATCAGAGAAAGAATTGAAAGAAAAACTATATATATATATATATATATATATATATATATATATATATATATATATATATATATATATACTATAAAGTGAGCAACTAAAACAATAATAATCCTACTACTACTATTACAGAAAATGACAAAGGGGATTGAAGTAGCTAGTCAAGTTGAGGACTCCATCCAATCATTAATCCCAAATTTATTTTTAAAAAATAATTTAAAAATTTGTGGAGTAAAATAAAATTCAGAAAATGTGTCGCAATATTAGGGGCCCTCCAGACCAAATTTGTCTCATTTTCCACTGCCCTATGTCCCCCCTTAGAACATGGAGCAAATTATGGGAGATTTTCCTTCCCCACTATAAGTTCCCTCTCTTGCCTCTTCTTTTCACACTCTTCAAATCCAACCCCCCCCCCCCCCCAAAACCAGAAAGAAAAAAAAAATGGCACATTTTTGAAGTAAGTTCTGAGCCCAGATTGAAAAATGGACATAGAATTGGCAAAGTGTGAGTGCTGTGGGTTGAAAGAAGACTGCACCCAAGCTTACATTAGTGAGGTGAAAGCAAAATTTGATGGGAAATGGCTGTGTGGGTTGTGCTCCGAGGCTGTTAGAGACGAGATTATCCGAGGAAACAACAACAATAGTCATATGACGATGTTCGTGGGAATCGAAGATGCTGTTAAGGCTCACATGTCTTTCTGTCGGAAGTACAAATCCAATAACCCTGCCACTCATGTAGCTGATGGGATGCGACAGATGCTAAGGAGAAGGTCTTCTCATCTCTCACCTTCTTCTTCTTCTTCTTCTTCTTCCAAGAAGTATTCAAGATCAGCAAGCAGTCCATCTGCTTCATCTTTTTCTTATTGTTAACCGGGATGTGGTTGAGTGGAAGGCCAGGGGCATGGACTTATCCATCCTTAACTAAATATCAAAAGCTCGATCCTTCGCTTTGGGTATGAAGTAGCCTTAAATCTGCGGATGAAGAGTTAGAGTTAGTTACAGTCCGACGGTAGAAACTCTGGATACACCCAAAAAAATCTTTCCCCTGTTACTAAAATAAAAAAGATGAAGTTATATGTAGTCTCTTGATTATTGTGATATTTTCTTTTTTTAACTTTCGAACTTCAAATCAATCAGTTTTAGTTTTCGACTATTGAAACTGTGTCAATGTCACATTATTTAATCTTAAAATAATGTGATAATTTTAGTCCTAACAAATGATTAAAGGTGACATTTTCAATAATCAATAGCTAAATTTGATTGGTTTTATATTCGAGAATTAAAAGTGAAAAAGTTATGATTATCGAGGGATCAAAATCAAAATTAACTCGATCAAAAATCAACCTTAAATTAATTTGGGTTGAAATAATGGCTGAATCTATATCTCATCATCATCTTGTGTTGTAAATATATATATATATATATATATGATGTTTTAATTTTTCTCAATGGAGGCTACTAATATAAAAGTTTTGGTTTCTCCTTTCCCATGTGCACTGTTATGGTTCATTAATTTATTTCCCCTTTACTGCTTCCAAAAGCATATCTGTTCTCTATGGTACTACATGGGAGTTAAGTGTCAACAAATTTGTAATTCAAATTTTCTAATTCATTATTTCACTTAATATTTAAATTTGACATTTTTTACTTAATTAAAATTGCAACAGAAACTTTTAGTTATTATAAGTTGGATTCTCACTAAAAATAATTTTAATGAACATGATAAACTTTTCTTTTGTAGCGTTAAGTTGTTTATTCCGCATATATATTGAGTAATTAATTAAGATTGTATATTCAGTATTTTGAGTTAAAAAAAAAAAAAATCAAATTGTCATAGTTGAAAAATGATAATATTTTATTAGGTATAACAAGTAAGAATTCCACTTTAATAGAGCATGAACTAAACATGGCAAAAATAACAATTTGACCCTATGATAATTTGCCCTATGTTATTTTATTTTTGTCAATATATAATTCGTGTGTGTGTGTGTGTTATTCTATTATTATGGACAAATAATTTAAGGATAGCAGATGAGAGTGTATATTTTATCTTGTATTTATTAAAAACATTAGAGAAGTAATGTATAAAGGTATAATATATAGTATGTCTATGATATATTATATTTTTAAAAAGTTGATTAGATTTTGAGTTGTATACAAAAAAATAATAATAAATAAATAAATAATAAATAATAAATCTACAATTTTTTTGGTCTTTTCTTTTTTCAATAGTTATTTCATTACATCATGATGTGAGTCTAATTTATCAGACAAACCATTGAAGGAAAAAGTTTTCACTTTCATCTCCACCTTTTCTCTATAATAAGACAAATGACTCAATTTGTTAATAATTAAGAAATACAAATGACAACCATAGCTTTCTTCAATTAATTGATTTTCAAAATTATGATAAAGCCAAAGGGATCGGAAGAAATATTTCCAAGTCCTTTTATTATTATTATTATTATTATTATTATTATTATTATTATTATTATTATTATTATTATTATTATTATTATTATTATTATTATTATTATTATTATTTTATTTTTTTTTTTATTATTATTATTATTATTATTATTATTATTATTTATTATTATTATTATTATTATATTATTATTATTATTATTATTATTATTATTATTATTATTATTATTATTATTATTATTATTATTATTATTATTATTTATTATTATTATTATTATTATTATTATTATTATTATTATTATTATTATTATTATTATTATTATTATTATTATTATTATTATTATTTTATTATTATTATTATTATTATTATTATTATTATTATTATTATTATTATTATTATTATTATTATTATTATTATTATTATTATTATTATTATTATTATTATTATTATTATTATTATTATTATTATTATTATTATTATTATTATTATTATTATTTTTATTTTATTATTATTATTATTATTATTATTATTATTATTTATTATTATTATTATTATTATTATTATTATTATTATTATTATTATTATTATTATTATTATTATTATTATTATTATTATTATTATTATTATTATTATTATTATTATTATTATTATTATTATTATTATTATTATTATTATTATTATTATTATTATTATTATTATTATTATTATTATTATTATTATTATATTATTATTATTATTATTATTATTATTATTATTATTATTATTATTATTATTATTGTTATTATTATTGTTATTATTATTATTTATTATTATTATTATTATTATTATTATTATTATTATTATTATTATTATTATTATTATTATTATTAATTATTATTATTATTATTATTATTATTATTATTATTATTATTACTATTATTATTACTATTACTATTACTATTACTACTACTATTACTACTACTATTACTACTACTATTACTACTACTATTACTACTACTATTACTACTACTATTACTACTACTATTACTACTACTATTACTACTACTATTACTATTACTATTACTATTACTATTACTATTACTATTACTATTACTATTACTATTACTATTATATTATTATTATTATTATTATTATTATTATTATTATTATTGAAGTCTTTATGTATGCGGCATAAAAATATATAAATATATTTACCCTTATAGGTTGCACATCCTTTGCAAGAGTCAGGCTCCTGACCTTGCAATTGTGCATTAGTAGTCAATTTTGTCAACTACTCCAAATTTTAAAGTTAAAGACTTCGGAAGTGTTTGGTAAATAGTTATTAGTTAATCGGGTTATTGGGTTTGACTAGTTCATAGCATTAACTTATTATAAAAAAAAAAAAAAAAAAAAATTGGTAAATTAGTTGTTAACTAATAACCGATTACAAACAAATTAAAATGATTTTCTCAAAAAGGCAAAAATTTTATCGAAAAAGCTGTTTTGAGCAGCTTTTTGAATTTTAGCGTTTTGGAGCAATAAACTTTTACAAAAAATTAATTAATCAAACACTCAAAAAGGCAAAAAACTTAACGAAGTCAAACTGCTAATAGTGGTCAAATAAGTCAAAATTGGCTGCTAAGGGCAAATTATACTGTGGACCATGGTCCACAATACATTGTGGTCCAGGCATCAAATATGCACTGCAGTTTCATTTCAACACAACTACATTATCATTTTGATATAACTACAGTTTTGCTGGACAATATACACTAAAATATGTGAAATTGTTATTCAGTTTCATTTTGTATACACTGCAGTTTCATTTCAACAAAACTACAGTTTCATTTCAATTCAATTGCAGTTTCATTTGATAATATAATAAAAATAATACGTGAGACAGTATGTATAGTCTCTGCCGTTTTGGATCATGGTCCACAAAGCTTTGTGGACCACGGTCCATAGTATAATTGCTGGGCTGCTAAGCTATCTATGTTACCAAACTCGACCATTATTTATTTTTTCTTTTTTCAAAAAAAAAAAAAGAAGTCCAACATCTATGCCTAGCTACACAACTTAAATTGTATCGGTACCCAAGAACGCGCCATATAAATGAATAGAAAGTCCAACATTTTAATTATGCTTTTATTATTATTATTATTATTATTATTATTATTATTATTATTATTATTATTATTATTATTATTGTTGTTGTTGTTGTTGTTGTTGTTGTTCTTCCACTTATTTATTTATTTGAATTGCTTATTACATTGAGAAGCAATCATTTTAAATTAAGAAGAATCGGATTCGCAGTATGCTCATTGTAATATGATCACAATATAGAAGTCAACCCCCCACTAATACCAAAAAGAGGCTTTATAATTAGAACAAGTTGCTTTAGCTTTAAGGTTATATCTTCATTTTCCACCATGTTTTGTGGATTATGAAGAAAAGTTTAAGTATAAAATAGTACTCAAGTTTTTACCATCTCAACATCATCATATTATTTGAGCATTGCTATATATTATCAATTAGTAAACAAATATCTTTAACCATGCAGTCCATTATTACTCATATATATACAAATATGTGTCTGTATTCTTTTGGTACATTTGAGAGAACAAGAATATATATTGGCCCCAAGCGTATATTCATTCAGATTTAAAGACAAATTTCTATATTGATTGAACTGCAACTCGTGACAATCACTCTCCCTTCTTTCACCCCACCCCACCCGGCAAATTATGTTGTGAAATCGTGTTCACTTTGCAAGGTGGACACGTACGGTTCCAAAACTGTTCATAATTATGAATATATAGTTCAAAGAACATATAGTTCTATAATTATAAATATAGAGTTGTAAACATAATTATGAACATATAGTTATGTAATTATGAATATAGAGATTCAATAATTGTGAATATAAAGTTCAAAAATTATGAATATATAGTTTTATAATTATGAACATATAGTTTAGTAATTATGAACATAGAGTTCTGTAATTGTGAATATAGAGTTCAATAATTATGAATATAAAGTTCAAAAATTATGAATATATAGCTTTATAATTATGAACATAGAACCGTGTGTCCACTTTGCAAGGTGGACACGGTTCCACAGCATAACGATTGACCCCACCCCCTCCCTCCCTCGGGCTCCCTCGCCTTGAGCTTTGTTGAGCATATATAATATATAAGCATAAATGTGAAATCCAACTAAAAGCTTAAATTTTTAGTTTAAAAACTTCAATTTGGTATTAGAGCCAACTCCACCAAAGGTCATAATTTTGAATCTCCGCGTCATCCGATAAAAAGAGACTATTATCCATGTGTTACTTGAAGTTAGTCTGTCAAAAGTAACCGGCTCGCACATGTGAAAGAACTTCCTAGGCTTTTAGTTGAGAGAAATCACATAATGTTTCAATTGGCTATACATAGTTAATTGAAAAATCCACCAAAGGGCTTGAATGTCTTGCTTGTTGCAGACTTCCTACTTGGTTAGTTGGTTGAGGTTCATGTAACTTTTTCAAAGTTGGTGTTTGTTTTTCCTTTGCATAAAAAAAAAAAGTTATAATATATGCACAAAATAATGTCCGTATACAAAAAATAGAAAGTAACAACGATATATTTGTAAATTTGCATAAATTGTGAAAATGGTTGACACGTGCATCATTTTTTATTTTAATTAATAATATAATAAAGAATTTTTATTGATAGATTTCAGTGTTGCAGTATACCTCCTGTGATTGTTATAAGTCAAA